TCGGCCCCCTCCCCCTCCACTTCCCCCCAACCCCCAGCCCTTTTACCCGCCTCCCCACCTTTGCCTCCCACTGCCCGCTCCCTCCCACTCCACTCGCAGGCCCCCGCCCGCCGCGCACCGAGGGAGAGGAAGGAGGGCTGAGCGCGGCGCGGCGCGGCGCGGCCATGGCCGACGCATCCGCCTTCCCCTACGGGCTGCGCGTCCTCGTCGTCGACGACGACCCCACCTGGCTCAAGATACTCGAGAAGATGCTCCGCAAGTGCTCCTACGAAGGTTCGAATCTCCGCCTGCTTTCCTCTTCGGGTTCTCGATCGGCTTGGCGTGCCGGCTACGCTGTCGCCTCCTCCTCTCCTGTGGGTGTATGTGCATCCGTCCGTCGCCTATGCATGCCTGCTGCTTGTTTAAATTACCCAGTGAAATTGGTCGAGACTACTCGCTATAATTAAATTACTGTGGGTGTGTGTGCGCGTTCTGGAATTGAAGTGGACTGTTCGGACCTTGTCGATCGAATTTAGGCTGTTTGGGGAACTGTCTTTCATAGATTTGTATCATCCTCCAGCGATTTGCCCGCTTTTGGGCTCCTTTTTGTGTCTGTTTTTGCTTGTGTATGTATGTGTGTGACTGGTTGGTGTCAACTGTGAGTGACTGGGTGGGAGCAACAGAGGCCTTGTCCATTTACCCTTTTTGGCTAAAATTTCGTATAGCGAACAACATATGCATTTCGAGGCTGTGCCCACTTTTAGGTGATGATGATTGCTCAATTATTTGGATGGATGTCTTGCTTCTCCAGAGTAGTCGGTGTCACTACTGCATCAGTTTTGTTTCTTTTGAGGTGCTGCGTAATTTGCTTTTCAGGCAACTCCTGTGTAATTTACCAGGAACCACACATTAAAATTCAGAGCACGTAGTTCCAACAATATCTTCTTTGCGGCCTTTCACCATTTAGGTGTTATATTTCTGTGACACCAGTGGCTGGGGACTTTACGGGCTATGTGCAAAATTCAGTTTTAACAGACAGTACTTACCTGTCCTTTGGTTAGACCTATTGCCAATTATCACTACTGAGTGATCAGTCTTCTTAACTAACTTAACTACCAACCTATTAGCCTCTCTGTTTTGTGTTGTGCGCCAGCGCAGAAACCATTTTTATGCCTCCACTCCATATTTATGTTAATAGTCATGATGTTTGTGCGATGGATGATGATGAGTTATCTGTTTATCAGTTAGACTAAACTAGTTATCTACCTGCAGTCACCACATGCGGCCTAGCTAGAGTTGCTCTTGAAATTCTCCGGGAGAGGAAAAACAGGTTCGACATTGTGATTAGTGATGTCAACATGCCAGACATGGATGGCTTCAAGCTTCTTGAACACATTGGACTTGAGATGGATCTACCTGTTATAAGTTAGTATCCAACACCAAATCTGTCTTCCTGCAATTTTCAAAGAAGAAACGATATATTTTATTCAGTTTGAATATCTACTCAAAACTTCCAAACTGCTCCACTCTGTTTTCACAGTGATGTCCATTGATGGGGAGACAAGTAGGGTGATGAAAGGTGTCCAGCATGGTGCTTGCGATTACCTCCTTAAGCCCGTTCGGATGAAGGAACTCCGGAACATTTGGCAACATGTATACAGGAAGAAAATGCACGAGGTTAAAGAGATCGAAGGTCATGATAGCTGTGATGATCTCCAGATACTAAGATATGGTTTCGAGGGATTTGATGAGAAGGGCCTATTTATGACAGTTGATTCCGATGCCACGAGGAAGAGAAAAGACGTGGACCACGGAGATCAGGACTCCAGTGACGGTGCTACTGCTAAAAAGGCTAGAGTAGTCTGGTCTGTTGATCTGCATCAGAAGTTTGTAAATGCTGTCAACCAAATTGGATTCGACAGTGAGTGCTCTCTGAAATCTAACACAATATCAGTTACCTTCCTATAAATTTATCAAATGAGCATGATCCTCATTCCAAAAGGGCAAATGTCGTCATTTTGCAGAAGTGGGGCCGAAGAAAATTTTGGACCTGATGAACGTGCCGGGCTTAACAAGAGAGAATGTTGCTAGCCATCTTCAGGTATGACATGTAATGTTCAAATGCTAAATTTCTATGGTCTATTTTCTTGAAAAAGGAACCGAGTTCATAAAGAGGGCGTTAAATCAGATTTTTAATAAAACCAAGAAAATTTGTATACAGGACATACTAAATTCAGATAATTACACCATGACTTTTCTCCAACTCCCTATACCTGGTGTGTCATGACAAATTTGTGCAACTTTGAAAATCACAAATCAGGCGTGTGAAGAGCAGAAAATTGGAATTTATAATGTGATGCAGGTAGTTTCTTCTGCAATAAAGGATCACCTTTTCTAAATTACACAAGATCACCTTTGTCAGAGTTTCCCCTAGAAGTAAGCGAAAGGAGATTCTTGGTTCCGTAAATGACAGAAAAATGTTGCAATGAGTTCCCGCCATGTGTATTCTTTGCCTCTGACATGTTCATGGGTCAGGACAAAGCTACTAATTGATTATTGGTGGAGCTACTGTAGGAGCATACTTTTTGAGGGGCTCCTTCTCATCTCGTAAAAAGCTTGTTTGCAATTTATATTAACATAAATCCTTATTGTTAACTGTCAAATATCACATATTCAATTTTCATACAAATCCATGTGAATTTTGAAGCATCTTACCAACACTGTAGGATTCAAGTAAAATCATTGTATTCCTTAAAGCTGAAAATAATCTTCTGGTATTCATACGAAGAAAATTCATTGTTATGCAGAAATATCGCCTCTACTTGGGTAGGCTGCAAAAGCAGAACGAGGAAAGGCTACTGGGCTCTGCTAGGCAAGATTTCAGCACCAAGGGGCCATCATCAGAGAACCTTAACCTCAGAAGCTCCTTCCAAGAGCAACCAAGCAACACTTCCAGTGGATATCCGCATGCTTCCCAGAAGATACAAGGCCAGAGCAGTGTGTCGGATTCTCAGTTGGAAGAAACCAAGCGCATGGTCCCCTTACCGGCGCCAGATAGAAGCATGAATTCTGTAAGTTCAGCTGCCGAACCTCAGAATGTCGCCGGTGTTTCACCAATAGGCGGCGTGCTGTCGTTCAAAGGTTTGCCAGTGAATCAGGACAGGAAGCCATCAGAAACCATGATCCTGGAATGCCAGGCCTGGACTGGAGGAGTGCCAGCAAAGCAGTTCATGCAGTACCCAAAGCACAACCATGCACGCTGCGACTTGTTAGGGGATTATGCATGCCTACCAAAGCCAGACTTGGAACACCCCACTGCTCCTGGTCATTTGTTCACACCACCTCCGCTGATCTCAATGAGTTGCAGTACAGAGATGGACGCCAGAAACTTCTCAGATGTGAAGCCAGCCCTTGTTGACTGCATCAAGTCCTTCTCGCCGGCGTTGACATGTACAGCTGATTCGGTTTCTGTTCAGATCAGTGACAGTGTTGTGACCTCAACAGATGCTGCTGACCGGAAGTTTTCCAGTGTGGAAGGTTTGCCTACCACTAAAGATTGTTACTTCGGCCAGACAAGCAACCAAGGCTCCTGGCTTCGTTCGCAAGAGGAGCCAAGCATCATATGCGGGGCGGATTTTGCTTCTCTGCCCGAGGATCTCCCCGGCTACCCACTTCAAGGAGGTGTCTCCTTTGAGAATGTAGGGCTGAGTAGCATTGATTTGTTTCACTACAACGACGCGATGATACTATCTGGGCTACAAAGTAACTGGTATGATGATCAAGACCACTTCAGCAGCGAAACGACAGACTACCCTTTGATGGATGGATGCCTCTTTGCATAATCCCGCCTTCTGTTCGGCCATGCCGTTTTGCGAGGAGAGGATGGTGTTGTTTGGTATGTCTCCATATAGCACCTCTTGTAGGGCTGCAGTGTTCTAACTTGATCCTTTGGTGGAAGGATCTAACTGTAGTAACTCCACTTTTGATAAAAATGTCTGTATTATAGACCGTGCCATGGTATAATCTATAAATACTCTTCGACGATCCCTCAAAGTATATATATGGAGACTGTCGAATATTTGCTTTTGGAGCCGGCACTGCTGTAGATTTTCTCTCTGATGCAGCATTGCAGACTGTGTTTGCTATTGCCATTGCACATCACAGGCAAACATAACTTATACTCCCTCCGTCCCACAAACGATCTTATATCGTGGGACGGAGGGAGTAAGTTTCAGCTTGGTCAGACAGGTTTCTTCTTCTCCCCCCGAGGGCGCGGAGAAAGTTACTACTACTGATCTAACATGAAAGAATTTCTTGGGTGGCGTAGCGGTCAGTAGACTTTGATGCAGTATGATAGTACAAACCAAAACTAATCTAGCACCTGCAAAGATGAATGGAACAGTAGAGTTGCAATCATAACCAGTTTGCATCACAATTGCGCTGGAACTCACTTGCTGCTGCACCAGCTGAACTGTCTGCCTCCGGCCAATCTGCTGGGCATCAATGTGCTTCCATTTGACTCTGTTGTGATGCTTTGAACACTCCGGAGTGAATTTCAGTGACTGAGAAAATCATGTAAATTATATCCAAATTAGTCTGATTATTATTTGTTAAACACCCCGTTTATCGGTTGATTTATGTAAGGCGTCCACAAGCTTCAAGTTTTACGCATTGACCGACAACTAATCCGAGATTTTTACTACTCCATATGTCTCAAAATGTTAGTGTCAAAAAACGTCTTACATTTTAAGATAGAGGGAGTAAAAACAATTTTGCTACTACCGTAGTGATTTTAAAACTACGGACAGGGTGTAGTATTACACACAAGTTTTGAACCTTACCCAAAATCAGCACTGCCTTTTGACTTTTAGGGGGTTTACGTAAACCTGCCCGGTTGGCGTACTCCCGAGCACCCGTCGCCTTCCGTCAGTAGACGAATCCTTCAGGGTCAGAGGCCCAGACACAAAGCAGCGAGAAAACGAAGGTAGGATCCGGGAGAGAGATCCGCCACCCCACCACCAATGGCGGCGGCCGCGCTCCTCCTCCTCCTGCTGCTGTGGCCGGCCGTGGTGGTGTCTGCCGCCGGGGAGGGGCGGCGGCTGCACACGCTCTTCTCGGTGGAGTGCGGCGACTACTTCGACTGGCAGGCGGTGGGGCTCCTCCACAGCCTGCGCAAGGCCGGGCAGCCCGGCGGCGTCACCCGCCTCCTCAGCTGCGCGCCCGACCAGCTCGCCTCCTACCGCGGCCTCCGCATCGGCCACACTCTCCAGGTCCCCTCCTACAGCCGCCACCCCCGCACCGGCGACTGGTAGGTAACTCTCCTCGCCGCACGCGCATTCAGCACACATGCTCCTCTCCTCCTCGTTCCCCATTTGCTCTAGTGACCCTGCGCCTGGCTGAAACCGAAGTAGAATTTGGGGGCGGACTGAGAAATTAGTTGCATCCCGCATGGACTGCTTCTGCATTTGGAATTTATAACGCTTGATTTGGGTGAGGTGCTTGATTAGGCAGGCCCTTTTTGGAGTGAACTAATTGGGGGACAGATGGATATGAGCTTCGAAGATTTCCTCATTTGGAATGAAAGTGGCCTTAGTGTGCTTTGTGTCATTTTGTGTGTGCAGGTACCCGGCCATCAACAAGCCTGCAGGGGTGGTACATTGGTTGGAGCACAGTCCAGAGGCGGACAACGTCGATTGGGTCGTGATCTTGGATGCAGACCAGATTGTTAGAGGTCCTATCATTCCTTGGGAACTCGGAGCAGAAAAAGGCAAGCCTGTTGCAGCTTATTATGGGTATGGTTTCAGTCAGCACTTCAGAATTGATGATCCTTCTGTCTATTTTCTGCTTAATATGGTAATGAGGAATTGGGCGATGGTAGTAAAATTAGTTACTGAAATAGTACTGTACCACGTCAATAGTTTAGACACTGGTGACTCATCCTTCCTCGTGGAGCATACCTTTTGTACTGAGTGTCACTTGTTAACTCAGGTTCAGTTTGCCGTTGGTACCTGGTACCAAGTGTTTGATTCTTCTTCATCCTTCTTTCTAAACTTGTTAGAGCAACATAGAATATTCTTGTATAAATTTGAATTGTAGCACAAAGCAAGTCTATATAACACCCATTACCTACGCAAACGTTATCTCTGGTTCCTCGCTTGGTAGCTAGGTATTTCATATCATTGTCTGACTGGAAGTCTGGAACTCAGCCTCCGATTTATCTTATTTACGTATTCTCTTAACTAGGTACTTGAAGGGTTGTGATAACATCCTTGCACAGTTGCACACTGCACATCCAGAATTTTGTGACAAAGTTGGCGGAATTCTGATCATGCATATCGATGACCTAAGGGCTCTAGCCCCTCTGTGGCTGTCAAAAACTGAAGAAGTGAGGCAAGACAAGTCCCACTGGTCAACTAATATTACTGGTGATATATATGGCATGGGGTGGATCAGTGAGATGTATGGGTACTCATTTGGCGCTGCAGAAGTAAGCTCGGTTACTCTTCTTCGCTATATTATGCATTGTGAAAGCAAATATTTCCTGAGTATATTTTATGTGGTTTTACATATTACCTTCATTGTATAATACTATAATCCTCTTCGACAGGTAGGTCTAAGACACAAGATAAATGATGACATAATGATCTACCCAGGCTATACTCCAAGAATTGGCACTGAGCCACTTATCCTGCACTATGGTTTGCCATTTAAAGTTGGAAATTGGTCCTTCAGCAAGTTAGAACACCATGAGGATGGTATAGTTTATGACTGCAACCGCCTATTTCCTCCACCTCCATTCCCTAGAGAGGTAAACAGTCTTCCTAACCATATTTTGGGATGCTCTCACTGGTAGGCAGTAGCTAGCTATCCTGTATGCGACTATTTAATGTTACTAACTTTATATAGGTTGAGGTGATGGAATCTGACCCAAATGTGAAACGGGCCTTATATCTAAGCATCGAGTGCATTCACACATTGAACGAAGGGCTTCTTTTGCATCACACATCTGTTGGCTGCCCGAAACCACAGTGGTCAAAATACTTGAGCTTCCTTAAAAGCAAAAGGTTCTCGGAGCTTACGAAACCAAAGTACTGGAACAGTCTAAAAGTTGAAAACAAGTTGACTGTACAGCATGTTGCATTGTCCAAAAGCAGACATCCAAAAATACACACCCTTTTCTCAACCGAATGTTCGTCGTATTTTGACTGGCAAACTGTTGGGCTCATGCACAGCTTTCGTATAAGTGGTCAGCCTGGTAATATTACACGCTTATTGAGTTGTACAGACGAGGATTTGAAGAATTATAAGGGCCGTGACCTTGCTCCCACACATTATGTTCCATCTATGAACAGACACCCATTGACAGGGGACTGGTATAAACTTCTGATTTAATAATGCGCTCAAAACTTTTGCTCAGTACATAATCTTTTATTTGTTCTTCTTAGGTACCCAGCAATCAATAAACCAGCAGCAGTTCTCCATTGGATTAACCATGTGCAGACTGATGCTGAGTTCATTGTTATCTTGGATGCTGATATGATCATGAGAGGTCCCATCACTCCATGGGAGTATGGTGCAAAACTTGGTCATCCTGTTTCAACTCCCTATGAGTAAGATTCTTATGTGGTGCTGTGTATTTTGCAGCATGTGTTGCTGTGGTTTAGTGATATTACAATTCCTGTTTACCAGATATGTTGAGAGGTGCTTCTATGCATCACCTCCATGCTGAGTTTGCACAAATCTTAGTGCACATCCAAGAGTTCGTTGAACCAACTTACCTCAAGATTTGTGCAAGTCTCATTGCAAGTTGAGGCAGTGATGCATGTAATTACTGCATATGAGAGAACCATGTACTAATATCATCCTTTCTGTTTGTCAGTTATCTCATTGGGTGTGATAACATACTTGCAAAGATACACACTCGCAATCCATCTGCATGCGAAAAGGTTGGTGGTGTCATTATCATGCATATTGATGATCTCCGACGTTTTGCTATGCTGTGGCTGCACAAATCAGAAGAGGTTCGTGCAGACAAAGATCACTATGCGACAAACATTACTGGTGATATATATGCCTCTGGCTGGATAAGTGAGATGTATGGTTACTCTTTTGCAGCAGCTGAGGTATGTGTAGTGGTTTATGTTTTCCCCTTTTGTTCTTGCAACTTCAAGCATATGTCTGCAACTGGCTGCACTGCATTAGAACTTACTGGCTGTATTGAATCATTTTAAAACCTGTAGATGTTTACATCAATGCAAATATGGTGCTTGTAACTGCTAGAGATAGTCTATGGAGAGCATGTGCTAATAAGTTCTAGAAAGCTAGCATGGTTAGCTTCAGTTGGCAGTTAGATCTCTCGGTGTCATTATAAGTTCGAAAGCTAGTATTGATAGCACCAGCTGGCAGTTAGCATTCATAAGTTCTAGAAATCTAGTATAGACGATGAACTATAAGGGCCATGACCTTGTCCTTCTCTGCAAATTGGTTTGTCTTGCTGCTTGACAGTTTCTTCTTCACTTGTCATGCAGCTTAACCTGCGGCACATCATAAGGAGTGACATATTAATATATCCAGGCTATGTTCCAATGCCTGGAGCAAATTACAAGGTTTTCCATTATGGGCTGAGATTTGGTGTTGGTGATTGGAGCTTTGACAAGGCTGACTGGAGAAACGCTGATATTGTAAACACATGTTGGGCCAAGTTCCCTGAACCACCTGATCCATCTGCTATCACGAAAGGCGATCAAAATGCACGGGAGAGGGATCTTCTCAGCATCGAGTGTGGCAAGGCTTTGAACAAGGCCCTGTACTTACACCACAAACGCCGAAATTGCCCTCGACTAAGCACCACCATAGGCAGCATCTCGAAGAAAATGGAGGAAGTTTTAACCTCCAATAAATCAGAGAGAGTTACACAACGGTCGTCTACGACTACAATTGGACGAAATGTGGAGCACATGGATGTGACCAGGCAGCAGGCTGTTGAAAGAGCCACAGACACTGTATCAGGTGTACATAGATCAAAGAGACTAGCCAGATCATCAAAGATGTGGATTTTTGCTGTTTGGGCAACATCTGTAGTAGTTTTCTTACTGGTAATCTCGATGTTTTTCTCGGAACGAAGGAGAAGTATTTCAAGATCTAGGGCTTCCAGAAGCCAGAAGGCCCACAGTTTGACTATAAAACAAACAGTATGATCATAAGTTTATTCCTTTGCCATACAGACATAAAGGGGGTACAGTACAAGGAGTCTAGAGGCTAACAACACCTATATGAGCTATCCGAAGAAGCCGGAGCTGATTAACCATGTGAATTCCTTATTTTTTGACAAGTTTTCTTAGTGCTATTAGCAGATTTTGTTGCAACTACTGTAGCTAACGTTGTTATGTTCAATTCCTATAGGTGTTTGTTTAGCTTGGTGTAATTGATACGCTTTTGTATTGTTTTCCCTAGTCAATTAAGGTGTCTATGTGTAGAAAGTTGTATGTGATTAACTAGCATACAGATAGAATAAACATTTTGGTCACACAATCCCTCTGGACTGTTCTATACAAAATTACATACTCCCTCCGTCCCAAAATTCTTGTCTTGGATTTG